GCAGCCCTGGCTTTTAGCCAGTGTTCTTGTTCCTGTCACTTCTTGAGTGTTTACTCCTGACTCCTTTGACATTTCCTACACAATCTCCCTTCCTGGGCCTCACTGATTGGCACAGCAAACCAGGTTCCAGGGCCTTTATCCTAATACAAGGCCTCAAGGCTGTTTATGAACCTTAGACACTTTCCTAGGACTTCCCAGTGTGTGGTTGGTGTTCCAGGATGTGTATTGTTTTGTTCCCTCAGTGGTTGGATCCTGTTGGATTTAATTTGGCCAGCAAAGTAAATGTATCAGAACAGTCTGGCCACAATGGGTGGAGGGCCAGTCCTATTGGCATGCCCTCTGGTGCTGGCATGGGCCTACTAGAGGCTGGCCTGGGCCACAGCTGGTGGCACCAGCAGTTTTGTTTGTTCTTCAGCCCCTGGCAAACCCTGAGCAGATTGGATTCCTATCCTGAGGAACACAGATGCTTCCTCCTGGGCAAGACTGTCCAGGCACACTCCACCTCAGAGCAGTGCAGTCTGGGGGAAAAATGAGGACTTGTTTCTGAGAGCTCCATCTCTTCTTTCTTCCCGTGGTTCCTCTGTTATCCCCATCTCCAAATCCATTCGTTCTCCCCTTAATAAGCATGATAACACAGTTTTCTCAGTAAAGTGTAATTGCCGTATAAACAAGTGGCTTAATGATAAATATTTAAGCCTTTTCAGGCACTTGGCTTTCTTTCATGTCCTGAATTTCCAGCAGAAGTGCAGTTTCATTCTGATTCTGCAGGTGGAAAGCATCTGGGACACCAGGAGGCAGGTGCAGTCAACGCAGAATGTGACCAACCTCAGAGTCCTTGCAGGCAGCTTGCAGGTAGTACTGGCAGCTATGGTGGGACCTGGCAGCCTATATCCTGCCTCTCTGGTCCCTTTTCATTTTGAAACACTCCAGAGCATTCTACCAGCTGTTGTGAGAAGTACCTATGTTGACAGTGTTGTTGGAATTCAAGGAGGAAATTGGTTTCGCTTTTCTGTGTAGCCATGGTGCCCACAGACCCTATAAGAGCCATCTGGGAATATGTGCACGGTGATGGGCTTGGATGGTTTTCCAGTTGCAAAGAGCATTTAATTACATTTTTTTTGGAGTTTTGTTTATGTGCACATGCCGTGTGTGTGTGTGTGTGTGTGTGTGTGTGTGTGTGTGT